CAGAACCCAGCACCTGCAAATACTTTTTCCCAGGGAATTTTACTCACTAGTTCCCTGAGTGGTCTGAGATCTGCCCTCCTCAGGTCTACAGTCAAGGCTTTGGCACTTTTCCTTCTCTTAACAGAGATTTTAAACTCAATTGCTTCATGGTCACTGTGGTCAAGACAGCCACCAATCTCCACTTGCTCACAAGATCCACTCTGTGTGGACAATCAAGAGTTCAAGGAAGGCATCTTTCCAAGCTGGCTCCCTTAGGATCTGTTCCATAAAGTTGCCATCCAAGTTTTTAGGAATCTTCTGGCCTGCATTGTACCAGGTGTGTGATGTTCCCAGTTAATTTCTGGCAAGTTGAAGTCTCTCATAAGGACAAGGGCAGTTGATTTGGAAGAGACCCTTAGTTCCTCAAAGAATAATTCATCATTGTCCTGGCCAGGAGGCCTGTAGTGGACTCCCACGATGGCATCTGCATTATTTGTTTGTTTGTTTGTCCCTTGATTCTTATCCAGAGGCTCTCAACTGTGCCATTGCCAGCTGTGAGCTCCATACATTCTACCCCTTCTGTTCCATACAGTGCCACCCCTTCACCTCTCCTGCTGTGCCTGTCCCTCCTGAAGAGCCTGTAACCATCCAACAGGGCACTCCAGGCACAGGACTGTGGCCAGATCATATTGCCTTTGGTCTCCACTGGCAGAGCACTGTGACGACAGCTGAGGTAAATGTCAAGCCTCAAAAAGGACTTTGGATCACAATAGAAGGAAGGAAGGAAGGGAAGAAAATCACAAAGTATGCAAGTGAAAACTTCTTGTGTCATGCAACTCTTCTGTCCACAGATAACTGGATGCAAACATGCAAAAGACAACTGCATAAAAAAATAGTCAGACTTATATCATGTTTTTCAATTTGCAGATGTTCCCTTGACATTAAATGCTCTCAATGCCCAAGTTCAAACACATATGTAAATAATTAGAGATTAAAAATATAGAAAAAAGTAAGAACATGAGGGAAAAAAAAGGAAAAATTAACATATAAAACTAAAGCTGCAGTTTGGCTTACAGCTCACTGAAATCCGACCAAATTCATCTGACTCAGCTGGCAATTTCTTTACTCCTCTTTACATTGAACTCTGGACCTCTAGATCACATGTGCTATGACCTGTATCACAGGTATGCAATCCATGACATTCAGGACATCATGACTGGCTTCTTGGCCATGAAACCTCCCATCCTGAATGCAAGTATACTACATAAATTAGTAAATAAATCAATAGATTTTAAATTGTGCTATAGCTAGTGTGTAGTGATATATGTTATGGCTAGATTTCTGACAGAAACTTTGCTGAGAAAGTCATGAAGAGCATTATTTGACATGTATTCTACTTAACAAAGATCAGTCCAAATCAGCTCAAAATATACTTAATAGACACAGGATTCCTCAAGGTAAGAATATGTACTGTGATTAAAGAGAGTAAATCATTGGCAACTAAATAAAATTCAATAAAGAGGAAATACTGCAAGGTTAATGATAATAAACAGAAAACCAAGGCATGCAACATCTCTTCTGTCACTCTGCAAGCTAATCTTTAGTCAACATTTACTCTTAGCTCTTAGGAAGAGCCTGCATTCATTGGAACTTTGACTGAGGCTCCCTTGACTTTAAAAGCTGATAAATCATTCTGTCTTTGGGCCACCACAGAAGTGTCCAACCTAAACAAATGAAACACATGTTGAACAGTGTAGAGGCTGGAAGAAACTGAAAAACTACATTTTGATTTGAATCTTCTACACACTTAACAAAAAGTGGAACATTTTTGAAAATGTGTTGAACTGTTTGGATGGTATTGTTTTAAAGTTGCACACTACTATAGGCAAATTGAATAGCACTGGCATTTAAGACTTCTCAAATTCTTTGTTCAAATTAGCAATTTTTATTCCTGGTAGGGCTGCACATGTGTGCTCTGCTCAACAGGCATTGAACAAAAACCCCTAGGGAAGCATTTTCTTCAGATTTAAAAGGTAAAAAAGTAGTAGAATAATGTTACTATATTCTAAGACAACAGCTTTTGTAATAAATGTTTTTTTTCGTGGTTTGTGTGTATCATTTATTTAAACCAACCAGTGCACTCAGGATATCACTTAATGGTGTTCAGAGGTGCCACAAGTGATTGCCTTTATCAGTGCAAGGGTAAACAGCACAGCCAGTGTGGGTGTATTTTTTCTTATCTGGGAGAGCTCACTTCATGACAAACATGACTTGGATTTGAGATGAGCTATATGAGAACATGAGTGAGGAGGTAAGTGAATATTGGTGATATCTGCTGAGAACACAAGGAAGAGACTTGAAACCTCAGATACAGGATCAGTTTATTATACTGCTCTTTATTATTCAGTAACCAGTCATGACTATAAAACAAATCAACTAAAAGTTCCTTACATGGCCCTTAACTTAAAACCCCCCCAAAAATCTGATTGTTAATAAAATTTTACTTACCAAACAATGACAGTATCTTAGATGCAAAAAGACGCTTCACTATTAATTATGTTAGAGTTTTGAATGAATGCTATGTTTAATGTCTATATGATGCCTCCATAAAGTAACTTCAGTAAAAGTAAACACAAATGCACCAGGATCCTGTTCCTTCTTTCGGCCAGCCTTAGAGTTATATTAATTACTAATGATAGATAAACTGATGTGGATCTTGATTTGGCTTGAAGACTTGATGGCAGACTACAGAGTACTTGTGATTTTTTAGACATCTGCAGGAGGGAGCTGCCTGTCCATCTGTCATATCTTGTTTTAACTGTGCAATGTGCTTATTAATCAAGAGGCTCATAGGAAACAGTATTATTTTCTTAAATATTTATGTGCTTGTTCTCATTTCATGATCAAGCCCATGACAACCCTCTTGAGCTCTTTTCCTAGAACGGTAACATCAGCTCCATATTTCATTCATTTCCCATAAATAATGCAGCTCCTGTGCTGTGTGGGCTATCATGTTATCTGTTATGGTTTACTCAAATATTTTTCAATTGCACAAATGCAATAAAGAATGATTTCTTGTAACACTGGCCTATTTATACCAGTTTTGCCTGATTACTTTTTGCACTTCATTTTCAAAAGGCAAGTTTGAGAAAATATTGTCTTCTTTACATTGGAAACATGTAAATCCTATAGATCAGATGAATATAAGAATAATACATTCTACTCATTATTTTTTGAATTGATCAAACAACTTTTTTCTTTGAAAATTAAATTATTAAACTTATTAAAAGCAATTTAATTGCTTATAATGAATTACCTTGTTCTATTCTAGGGTTATGATACCAAAAATGGTTTTAAAGTTTTGAAATTTGTGTAAGCATTATGAAGTACAGTCATTCCCTATTCCTCCCTTATGATTTTCCCACTTCATCAGTGCTTGTAACACTCACAGGGAAAGGCCAACCCTTCATGACTAGCACTTTTTACAATTCTTGCTAATGCTGATGCTTCACAAGTACCACAATTATCTCAGTAATCAATAGAGAACGGTGGTTATACCCTGTTTTGCATCAATTTTATTTTGACTGATTTCTCCTTTATTTTATACAGAAAGTTTATGTTTTTCTATTTATTATAAATGACTACATTGCTTGCTAAAATAGATGTTACCTTTGGCTAATAATAGATTAATAGATTGATTAAAGGCACCTAAATTCAGTAGAATGAGTTTAACAACACTGATTAAAGCACCTCTGTTTGCATAATGAGTATGATATCAATGAAAGAAATAAATTAACATGCACTAAATACAAAAAAAAAAAAAATAAATAAATGTCTATAGTAATTTGGTATTCTTTTCTTCTTAAAGAGTATTGCTACCATTTACTTAACCTTTTCTATCACATTATGACAGATAAGAAACTTTCTTTTAGTAGAGTGAAAGAATAGAAACTCAATCCATGTAAATTTAATCTGTGTGTGAAAAAAAGAAAGGGACAAAGCCTTTTCTTTCATACAAGGACTTCAGTGGAATTTTGTTTGTCTACATCAATAGTGAACTGGCTTGAAATGCTGCATAAACATGAGATAAAACTATGTGTTATTATATGGATTCTGTTCCCCAATGGTTAGCATAGCTAAATTACTACAACAGGAATACTGATAAACAATTCATTTTGATTTCTGTCACTACTATTGCATCTAAAAAGAATATTTATTATAATATGATGTTAAAAATGAATCATTCTGTTCATGTTCATGTCTCACTTCAATTCTCCTCACTGTCACTAAGAATAAATGTCTACATCTTCCTGGTCCAGGCTTTTACATAAGCAATCCTTAAGGTATATTCCTAGTGACACTTCCAGTGGTTTTGCAGCTTCACTGCTGTTCCAATAGTAAGTGTCCAGGCTCTTCATAGTAAGGGAATACCATACCACAAGTGGGAGTTATGAACAGCCATCCCTTTCTTTCATGTTCAGCAAATCTATACTTATCACAAGGCAGAGGAATGTTGCCGAGTCAAAAAAAGGAAACCACAAGGAGGTGTAGGTATTCATGGGTTTTTGTAGACACAAATGCCTATGGAGAATTTTCCTTTCTCATATTTTCATCTACAGTGCAGCTGAACTGACTAAATCTCAGCATCTGCAATGTAGGTATCTGCACCTAAGGTAGCTATCCGTATTTGAGTGAGAAAAAAGTCAATTTATCTAATCCCAAAGGGGATGTCTCAAATAGGTAAGATGAATCATGGTCTAAAAGAGTCTGTTTCTTTCTACACTAATAGAAAGAGCAGAAGAAATTATAGATGTTAAAAATTAGGTGAAAATAATCCTTTCCACACTCTAGACAAAGTGTAAAAAGATTCCTTTAAATTATGTAAGGAACAGCTAATATAAATTTCCAGCTAAAAAGCACAAAGATACTCTCTGATTTCAGTTTAGAAAGATCTGTTTTGGAGACCCCAAATACCCTAGCCAAGAGACAGGACTAGTGCCACAGCCTGACTTTTGTCTTACCTCTATGAAGAAGAGACTAGCTGCTGACGTTGGGTGATGGTACATGTAGACAGTCACAAGGATGGCTGCAGCCACGACGAGGACCAGGACGAGGATGCCAACAATTAATCCTGCATGAAGTGTCCCGCCTTTCTTCTCTGCTGCACTGTCATCTGTTGAAGCTGCACAAAGAGCACACTTCTCAGCACAGGAACTTACACCTTACCCATTCCACTGCACACACGGGAATTGAGGATTTGCTTTTTCTGTTACATACACCTCATTTTCTACAGCCCAAGTTGGAAAAAGATATTAGATGTCTCTAATAACAACTGGGTACTCTCACAATCTTAATGAAGAGACTTTCAAATGTTTTACTAATTCTAATTCAATAAGTGATATTAACATCTTTTCTTTTGAATGTAAAATGAACAGTCTGAAGTTCCCAATTACCTTCGTAATAAATTTTGCTTTGATTTTCTTATAAAATTATTGCAATTGTCCCACAGACAAAAAAAGTACTCATTGAATACATTTTGAACTTTTAATTTTTCTTTAAATATTTCAATTGAGGCATCCCACAAACCGTTGTGAGGTCTTGCCATTAAATGCATTCTGAAAGCCTTATTCATTAGCTCACAGAAGAGTTTGGAACCACTCTTTGAGATGGAATCAGACAGCCAAAAGTGCAACAGATGGATGCAAATGATCCTGCAATATTTTGATCTTGGTCTGAATGGAACACTCATCATACCAAAGTATTACAGAAGACCATCCATTTGCTAAACTTGATACCAAAAGGCCACACATGCTATGTTTCTGTCAGGATAAAAGAGGGCTCTCTGTAATGAGCAACTTGTCAGCAGTGCTTCCAAATAAGTGACTGAAGTCTTTCAACAACAGTGTAACCTTTGGGGAAAAAGTTTCTCAATATATCAACTGACACCTGTAGAACTTGTTCTTCATCATACTCTTGCAAAAAAGAATTACTGTTCTGCCCATTTTTGAGGGCAAAAGAACCATTCACAAGTCCTAGGTTTAAGAAACACTGGTAGAGCACTGCTAATTTGACCTCACAACCTTCCATCATTCTCCTAAATGTTTTTCACCCAGAGGGTTCCTGGGCATCCCAGGGAAGTGGTCACAGCACCAAGCCTGGCAGAGTGCAAGAAGCATTTGTACAATGCTCTTGGGTACATGGTGTGACTCTTGGGGATGGTTCAGTGCAGGGCCAGGAGTTGGACTCTACTGTCTTTTTGGGTCCCTTCCAGCTCAGCATATACTATGAGTTTGTGTGATATTCCCACTGCTTTCTGCTTTTCTGGAAATCCTTCTTATCACTTTCATGCATAACTCCATACAACACCTGCCTCTGGTCTTGCTTATGAGAAATTTTCTTTCAGTTCCACTTTTAAATTTCCTCTCACCATGGCAAGCTGACTATAATGAAAAACACTGATATGTGCAACCATCCTTTTTGCTGTGCCATCCCCTCGAACTATTTGTTTGGTTGTCTGACTCCCTTTTATTTGTTCTTTGAAGACAGATATGGGTTATGAGTATCACTTCAACAAGTCACTGTTATTGTTATTAATAGGAACAACAATAATAATAGCAATACATGTACATGGTCTTTAACCATTCATGTGATTGGAGTAGAACACTCCATGCTAATGTTAAAATAGAGAATTGGAAAATTATAGAAGAAGGGCATATTGATACAGGTAGTGATAAATGTCTTGCATGAGAGGCAATGAAAGAAAAGAGGAACAGTTAATCTGGGTGTTACAGCTCATATATCCATGTATGGCAGCACGTTTCTCACCAGACTAAGGAAGGCTGCATGGTTTGTGACCCAGCAAATTGCACAGTACCATTGGAGCAAAAGGGAGAAAAGGAAAGATACATTATCTTAGCCAAGACATCAATCTGACTATTACTCCATGTAATAGTTACACATCTCTGGAGATAGAGAAGGTATTAAAGTACCTATCCCTTGTTTGTGTCCATATTTCCTCAGTCTTGATTCAGCACAGTCAAAAGCCCACAGTGTTGCTCTGCTCTGTCCCATAAAGTCAGTGACACTTTGTGGAGTAAGGAACTGAGTAACAGAATCAGAGGATAAAGAAAAAGTTCCCAGTAGATTAGGAAGCTAAACTAGGGCGTGGGAAACATTAATGATTTTAATAAAAAATTGCAAGCATGATACCCACTCAGGTACAGCCTAATCCTGCAGGTGTCATTCTTTTTAAAAGTTCATGAGTATCTGTTCACACAGGAACTTCAGTTTAAATTGTACTGTTTTTGGACACGAATTTTTATTTTATTTTATTTTATTTTATTTTATTTTATTTTATTTTATTTTATTTTATTTTATTTTATGTTATTTTATTTTACTTTACTTTTTAAACACAGTACATACAGTGAAAACTTCCAGGCCATTCTATATATACTGAAGTGGAGGAAAGGAAATATTACCTAGAATCTGGAAGTTATATTTTTCAAATTTTCAAAATTGTCTCTGACAGGGTCATTAGAATACTTCCTAGTAGTTAGAGCACTATATAAAAAAGGATGCAAGATTCATGGAGAAGACAGGAAAGAAGGGTGACCCAAAAAGAGATTCCTCTTATTTTCAGACAGCAGAATCTTTTGCTTGAAATAGCCATTAAGATTCACTTCATCTGAGAACAGAAGAATGTATAGAAAAACCAGTCTTAGTTTCTGTTCATGCACTATAACAATATTTAGTACTTGTACATACGTTTCAAATTGCCATACAAATGGAAATAAAGAAACTGAAAGGCCATCAGAAAAGGCCCGCTTGATTGTACATCCTTTGGCTGGACTATTAATCCCCACTGGTGAACAGTTAGTTCTGATTCACCCTACTGAGAAGAAACTGCTCCCACAAGGAGCAGAGGATTCATAGTTTGTTTGTCTCATAATTATCTTTTCAGACAGTTTCATACTTTTACTTAATGTCGCATTCGTGCATCAAGAACTACTTTGTCCCTTGTACCCATTTTCAGGCTGATTTGCACTAAATGAGCAATTTGTATTGTTACGATGTTATGGTTGAAGGCATAAGATCACATTCTGCATTTTAAGAAATGCTAGACTTCAGAAAAGGTCCTAACCACTCTGTAAAGGTCATCACTTTAATCCCTTTTGATCTGATATTTTCTCAGCTTCCAGCATCCATGGTTGCAAGCTAGAACACTGTCTCTTTGCAGCAACACAGGTGTCAACTTCCTGCCCAGATTTCTGCTACTCAAAGGCAGAGCACTGTGGGGACACCAGCGCCGTGATCAGAATCCAAATGCAAAAAATAATGAAACAAAAGAAATGCTTTCTTTAAATTACAACAATTTTAAGTAACTTGTAATTTCCATAATGGAAATTCAGTCCATTGACCCCATGGCTCAAATGCTCATGAGAAATTGATTTCACTCTCTTTGTACAGAGAAAATAAACAGTGTTGTCAACATTGAAAATACTGTTTGCTGCAAAATCAACTGTCAGTTCTTTTAAAAAGCCACCAAGGGAAATAGATGAAAAAACAAGGACTTGGAAACTTTTTCAGGTGTAGAAATCTTACTAAGATTATCACAGCATGTCTGTTGTTCCAGGCAAAGCTAAACCCATGGGAGGCTTTTTGTTTCACAACTAATCCCTTCCCAAAAGGAGTACTCTCAATGGAACTTTCCCCAAACTTTCCTTTTCTTATGCTCAAGAAGTAATTGCTACATATAATATACTCTATATTTATAATGTCTTCTCAAACTCTTAAGTGCATAAAACTTTTAAGCAGAAGGAGCCTGTTAATACCTCCAAGGTCAGTCTGCTTCTCATTAGGTGCCGAATGGCTGGATAGAAAGAGCAAGTAGTTTTTTTCTCCCCCTAATATAAAGGCACAGAATCCAAACAAGAAATAGCTGTTCTGTTGCTGGAATGTTTAAAAAATAAAAGTGAAAACACAATAAAAATGTTCTTATTGTTTCCATGAGAAACACATAAAAACGATAAAATCTTTGATTTAATAAAACTAGTATGTCTCCAGCTACTCTTGGGCTAGCTTCTTTTGCAGTAGGAAAAGAAGAAAACCTCAAGGAATGAGTCTTGCCTTGCCATGGCACACATGGACTGCGATGCTGACTGTAACAGAACAAATGTGTCTCCAAACTGAGGCTGCTTTTTAGTGTTTTCAAACTGCTACTTGCTATTTGTAGACACATTGTGGATACATTTTCAACATTATTTTTCTCATAACTGCACATTAATCCTTGAGGTCTGCAAAATAATGAAATACATTGTTTTATATTACCTAATTTTAAAGTTTACAAAAAGTTTCTACTGTGATAGTTCTGTATATGAGAAAACAAAATTGTGATACATACATTTACATCTCTTATGAGATGGAAAAGAGTTTAATTTCCAGAGATTACTATCTCTGTCTGTGAGATCAGAGATACAAAATATTTTACAGGAAAACAGAAGAAAAATAGATGAGCTTCTGGTACTTCCTGGCTAGAAAATTTCCTTTATATATAATGTGACATGGAACAAAAGGTGAACGACAGACAAAAATGTAGAATTGTGTAGACTTGGAAAATAAAATTTTGCTTTTCCCTCCAAAAGCCATGGCATTCCTTTTTACTCTTTCATCTTGATCAGGTGGTAAAAGACCATCTGGGAAAAAACCCACTGGATTGAACTTCCAATTCAAACTCACTTATATGCACATGAATCATTAAAGGGATAAAAAGCAATACCTTATTTGACCCTCCTGACTGACACACAAAGCCAGGGATATGGATGATTTAAATAGCAGCAATCAGCCTGAAGATGATAACTAAGTCCTAAACTTGATTCTTTTCTCCCCTCTTTTAACCAGAAGAATGCATTTTCTCTTTTTTGGTCAGCAAAAGAGCAGAAATCTTCTCTTGCTGCATGATCTGGGGCAACTACAGATCAAGTCCACTCACGAGCCCTCCACCCTATTACATATATCATTTCTAGCTTGGAAACTGCATCACTCCCACTTGCATGGCTGTGAGTTTGAGTAGAGGCTCCTGCCAAGAGGGAGGACAATGTTTAGCACAGCTGAGCACCCAGGCTTACGGGTACAGTGAGCTCCACAGAGCCACCGGGTTTTTCCCCACTCCTGGGCCTCCGTTTA